TTATATTATTAAACCAGATATAATTTAATTTAGTTTCAATAACGAATTAATTTATAATAAAAAAATTACACAAAAATATGAATTTTAAATAGTAAATTAGACAAAAATTTGACACTAATATCGATATATTTTTGTCAAAATTTTATGATATCTTCAAATTTATATTTTATTCAAAAATAAAAGCATCATCGTTTTTTCAAAATCACATAAGACCATATTATAACATCGACTGAGATAAATAATAAAATAAAATATTAAAATCAAGATGTATCTTGTTGCATCTGTGACAAACTTGTGTTTTTATTGTAGTTTCAAGATATCTATGGTGACACCAACATTACAATATGATTGCACATTTTATGAGCCTAAACTTTTTTTAGCTTATGACGGAGGAACATAGAGGTGGCATGTGCCCAGAGGCGTATCTATAAAAGTTTTCAAGTGACGATACAGGTTGACTATAAAAAATATCTAAATTTTTATCACAATATTAGTATAAATCTCTTGGTTGGTTCCTTATCTTTACCCGGAAGAAACCCATGGTTGAGTCCTATCTACATATATTTAAAAAGAAACAAGATGTATATAAAAAAACACGAAATTTAAGCACAAAAAAAAAAAAAAAACAAATTTGACAACAACGAGATTAGGGTTGACAATTGGTAAGGGTAAACCTGTTACCCATTATGTTTCGACCTATTGGGTAAGAGTACGTGTTTAAAAAATATTGTCTATTTATCCACTTATTCATTACCTGTTTATTCGGAATTTTTAATGGGTAGGGTATGGATAAACGATTTTTCGTGATCCATTACCCATTACGATACATACATACATATATATATATATATATATATATATATATGAGCGATCAAATGAAAATCGCCCTCATTTGTGTGAACCATGTAAACCAATCTCATCCATTCATTTTATTGATCAATAGTAAAGATTAATTTAGTTTATTTTAGGAAATTAAAAAATATATATTAAAATTTTTATTTTATAATAGCGAGAAGGGCAAAATGGTAAACTTAACCACATCTTCATCATGCACCTTATTATGGTAAATTCCCCACCCTATTCATCATGCACCTTATTATGGTAAATTCCCCACCCTATTCATCATGCACTCTGTTTCACTTGTCAAATGAGATTGTTCACGCACCCTATTCATCATGCACCCATTTCAAATATAAGCTATTTGGATTACATTTTCAAAAGCTAGTTTGAAAGCTATTAGTATGACTTATCTAATAGAGGTTTTTTTCAAATATAATATTTCATAATATAATTCTACTAATTTTAAAATTATTAACAACCATGACTTCTACCGTATAGTCGATTCATTTCCGCCAAGAACTACCTTTAGAATGCATGAGGAAATCGAGAACATGTCACTTTGTAAAGATCGTTAAAAAATGATTTACATGGAGAAGTTTTAGCTTACGAGTCTTGTAAACGTTTTTACAATTGAAGTTCGAATAACGAAAGCAATATCAATGTGAAGTAGAAGGCGATGTGAAAAATAATGAGAATATGTAACATAGATCACTTTTAACGTAAATGAGGCTGAAACAATTATGAAAGGTTCCCGTTAAGACAACAAATGGACTATGAATATTGATCGATATGTTGATTTTTACTTGTACTTTAAACTATATATTTGGATTTTACTTTTTTAATCCATAGTTTAAATTACGGAGCGTGATTTGCCCCAACCGATGTTGAAGTACATAAACAAGCTTTGAAAGACAATGATTAACAATATTTTAACTTGAATAAAATATAATTTTGATACGTGACTGAAAATTTAATAATTAATCCTTTTCTACAGTAATGCTCCCTAATATATATCATATAATAAGATATAAAATATAAATTTAATATATATATATACACACACACATATATAATACATAATACTATAAGGTACTCGTACAATGCAGCGAGATACATCTTGATTTTAATATTTCGTTTTATTTTTTTGGGTTAAATGCATGAAATAGCAACCTACTTTCATAAAATTTCTTATTATAGCATTCTACTTTTGTTTTTCTTTATTACAACAATGTACTTTCAAATTATTTTTTTATTAAGACATTGTACTTTAAAAAATCTACYCATAATAGCAATRGGTAACCTGTTACCTTTTAAAACGGTTAACCCTTTGACTTTTTTGCTTGTGTGGCTTTAATGAGATGATGTGGATGTCACATCATTTTGATGACTTAACTAAAATTAAAATTTATTTCAAATTATTATTAGTGATTTTCATTTTTCATTGCTATGATCTAAAAAAACATTTATGTATTTTTTACTTTTTCTTATTAAGTTGCATTCAAATTAAATATTTTTGGAGT